TAACCCCAAGCATAACCATAACCTTAACTTAACAGTAGCCCTAACCCTAACCCTAATCCTAATCCTAACCTTAACCCTAACCCTAACTGTAACCCTAACCCTAAACCTAATGCTATCCCTAACCCTAACCCTTACCCTAACCCCAACCCTAATTCTAACCCTGAAGAGTTTTGATGCCCATTTCTCCGAGGACCTTGTAATGAAAGGGTTTGACAAAACAATTTTCTGCCTGTATTATTTTTAAAAACAATGGGTGCAGGAGCTTAGCGATGAATGTTAACTGCAATGTTTGGTCTCCAACACATCTACTTCCAGGTTTCATGCAGGCAGCCAATCAGCAGCTTAAAATGTTTAAGTGAGGTTGACACCATCTCTGTAGGGTTACAACACAAGGAGGCCATTTGGTCCCAAGTGACAATGCTGGCCGCTTTTGGCTTTGTGGTTTTAGCCGAGGCTGGCGAGGTTTACTGGGCAGTGGCTGAAGGGAGGTGAGGATGGATAGGGTGAGAGTGTTGCCACCGTTCTGACAGGGCAGCTACCCTCTGCCCCTCCATCACTGATCCATACTCACTGTGGGTGAATAGAGAACAGTGTCTCTGTACATTCCTTATTGCAATTGAGGGAAGGGTATCACTTTCAACAGCTACATCTGGCGACCTCCTATCTCTGCCCAGGAAAAAGCCCCCCAACTGCTTGCATGAGATATATCTTGCCATTCCAGCTGCAGGGTTAATCTCCCCATGGAATATCACAATCCTGAGCTCACAGGTTGCTTCAGTCTGAGAGGTCTTGACTTGTTCTCTGATCTCTGCCAGTTCCTCCCATGATCCGGGATGGCACAGAGAGCTGGCATCTCTGATTTCCTGCACTGCGTCATTAATTGCTGTGCCTTTAGTCACTAAAGCCGTAAACGTTGGAATGATCTCACTCAGTCTCTGCACTCCTCTGTCTCTCTCGCTCACTATCTCTCTCTCCCTCCCCCCTCTCCCATCCCCGTTTTCAAAGGCTTCATAAAACTGAGCTGTTTAGTCACCTTCCCGGGTGTCTGTTATATAATTCAGTATAAATGCTATCTCATCACATCTGTGCTGGTCAGCAGAGATCTGACTACACCCTGATCCACAGCCCTAGAACTTCGGACCAACAGCTGGAAAATCAGATTATTGTCATCAGATCTTTGTTTTTTAGCATGGACCACCGCCTGTGCCGTAAAGATCTATGAATCATTATTCTACAGGATCATTATGGGATAGAATTTATCCTGAATCATATAAGACACACTAGGGCAAGTGACTAAACTGCTTGGACAAAGAGGTCAGTTTCATGAAGATTTTTAAAACAGGAGAAAGAAGGAGACATGAAGAAAGTCAGAGGAAATTCCAAAGTTTATGTTAGTCCTTTGAAGGATCTTTATAAAAGCCAGCTTTTTTCAGGGCTCTTAAGATACAGTGGTAGTGTCTCTACCTCTGATTCAGGAGGCCTGATTTCAAGCCTCACCTGCTCCAGAGGTGTGTCATTACATCTTTGATCACATTGGATAGAAAATATCTTGAGGGATATGTCTCATGGAGTTAAACAGAGATTTCAGGGTGGTGGACAGCTGTGACAGAGAAACATCGGCAGCAAGTTTGGAGTCGTTACATTAAGAGGTGAGGAAATGTCTGTGTCATTTTGATGTCGTTGAAGTCTCCAAAGGCTTGAATGGATGTTGTGTAATATCACTGCACTTTGGCAAACAGAGTTGGAGAATTGAGCCAGAAATCCTGGCGTTCTCTTAAAACACATTCTTTACGATTTGTAACCCTCATTGCCAATTGGAATTAAAAACAAAATAAAATTTAAGCTTACTTTGCTAACCAGGTGATATGGAAGGTATACACTCTAGGATGCAAAGAACAACTCAGTTTATTCTGCTGGAGGAAAAGGCATTTTCCCAGGTCGTGACTTTGCCTTTTCCTCACTTGTGAAATGAGCTGAGTTGGGCCATCATGTACCTACATTTAAAGCTGCTCTCTGGGATCGATTTCAGGCACGTCTAAAAACTAAACTGAGCTGAAAGCAAAGTACTGTGGAAGCAGGAAATCCAAAATATAGTCATACAGTTATACAGCACGGAAACAGCCCCTGTGGTCCAACTCGTCTGCACCAACCAGACATCCCAGTCTGACCTAGTCCTGTTTGCGAGCATTTGGCCCTATCCCTCTAAACCCTTCCTATTCATGTACCCATCCAGATGCCTTTTAAATGTTATAATTGTACCAGCCTCCACCACTTCCTCTGGCAGCTCATTCCATACACGCACCGTACACTGTGTTAAAAAGTTACCCCTCAGGTCCTTTTCAAATCTTTCCCTTCTCACCTTAAAACTATGCCCTCTAGTTTTGGACTCTGGGAACAATAAGACCTTGGCTATTCATCCTAGCCATGCCCCTCATGATTTTATTAACCTCTGTAAGGTCACACCTCAGTATCTGACATTCCAAGGAATAAAGCCCAAGCCTATTCAGCCACTCCAAATAGCTCAAAGCCTCTAGTCCTGGTAACATCCTCGTAAATCTTTTCTATGCCCTCTCAAGTTTAACAACATCTTTCCTATAGAAGGACGACCAGTGTTGTGTGTGGTATTCCAAAAGTGGCCTCACCAATGTCATGTACAGCTGCAACATGACGTTCCTAGTCCTATACTCAATGTGCTGACCAGTGAAGACAGGCATGCCAAATGCCTTCTTCACCACCCTGTCTACCTGTGACTCCAAGGAGCTTTGTTTCAAGGCTTCAAGGAACTATGCGTCTGTACCCCCAGGTCTCTCTGTTTGGCAACACACCCCAGGCCCCTGCCAATGACTACAAGTCCTGCCCTGGCTTGCCTTACCAAAATGCAACACCTCTCATTTATCTAAATTAAACTCCATCTGCCACTCCTCAGCCCATTGATCCATCTCATCAAGGGTCCGTTGTACGCTGAGATAACCTTTGCTGTCCACTGTACCACCTATTTTGGTGTCATCTGCAAACTTACCAACCATGCTTCCTATATTCACATCCACATCAAGTGTATAAATGACTAAAAGCAGTGGACCCAGCACCGATCCTTGCAACAGAATGTGCTGGAGAAACTCAGCAGATACAGAGTCAGTGTTTCGAAGCCTCTGCTTTGAAGAAGTGTCATTCCAGACTCGAAATGTTAACTCTGTTTCTCTCTCCACAGAAGCTGGGTTTCTCCAGCACTTTTTGTTTTTCTTTTGGAACTGTGGTTCTGATGGTCACTGGTTCATGGATACACTCACAGAGTCATACAGCACAGAAGAAGCCTTTTGGCTCTCCTGCTCCAACCTATCCTCTACTTGCCAGCACTCGGCCAAAACGCTCAGATGTTATGATATTTACTCCTGGGGCCTGTTTGTCAGGGCCGTCGGTGACTGGACATTTTGTCTTCCGCAGCTCCCCAGGTGATCCGGAAGATCAGAGTGGAGCAATATTCTGACGCCACTGGGAATCTCAAACTCTGGTGCCAATTCTTCAACATCCTGAGCGACTCCACCATAATGTGGCAAAAAGATGGCGTTCACTTGGACAAGTTGAAACAGAGGTAACTATCATCAGCTGGTGCTGCTATTATCTAGGAGCATGTGGCAGGGATGCCTATTACTCATCCCTAGTTGCCCTTGGGAAGGTGGTGGTGAGCTGCCTTCTTGAACCGCTGCAGTTCCTGTGCTGTGGGTAGATCCTTTAGGGAGGGAGTTCCAGGATTTTGACCCAGTGACTGTGAACGAATAGTGATATATAAGTCAGGATGGTGAGTGGCTTGGAGGGGAACTTGAAGGTGGTGGTGTTCCCATGTATCTGCTGCACTTATCCTTCTAGATGGAAGTGGTTGTGGATTTGGAAGGTGCTGTCTGAGGACCTTTGGTGAAATTCCACAATGCATCTTGTAAATAGTGCACACTGAGCGTCGGTGGTGGAGGGAGTGGGTGTTAGGATGTGGTGCCAATCAAGCTCCACATTGCTTCTATAATTTGTTTCGGCAGACTGGGGAAACTCTTAATTAATGTTTCTTGCCATCCTGATGCTGCATTTTAACAGCAGATAATTGATCTGGTCCACTGGGGTGGCACGGTGGCTCAGTGGTTAGCACTGCTGCCTCACAGCGCCTGGGACCTGGGTTTGATTCCACCCTTGGGCGACTGTCTGTGTGGAGTTTGCACATTCTCCCCGTGTCTGCATGGGTTTCCTCCGGTTGCTCCCACAGTTAAAAGATATGTAGGTTAGGTGGATTGGCCATGCTAAATTGCCCCATTGTTGCAGGGATGTGTAGGCTAGGTGGGTTGGCCATGGACAATGCAGGGTTATGGGGATAGGGTAGGGGCGTGGGTCTGGGTGGGATTCTGTTCAGAGGGTTGGCGTGGACTCGATGGGCTGAATGGCCTGCTTCCACACTGTAGGAATTCTGTGATAGGGAGCCTCTCCCCCTCCTCTAGAGCAGCACATTCATCGACTGCTCTGAAAAGGGGGCGTTCCCCCTAGCTCAGCTTGTTCGCTTTGTATTTGTCTTCTAAATAGTGCACACATTGTGCCCTGAAATGGAGCTGCAAATTCAGTCACGTTAATGGTGCCTTAAAGACAGTAGAAAGACCGAGCTTCCATGCTGTTGAGTGACGAGGAGCTTGAAGTTTTTAGTCACTTTCCAGTTTGTTGTGCCTGGAGAAAGCTAGGTCCAACTAAGAATTTTTCAGTTTTAGTGAATGATGTTGCTTTCTTGTTGCTGGGATATTAGCGACCTGTGATGTCACATGGATTGCCCATTATGTGTTTTCCAGCGCTGGGGACGAGAGCCAAGTGTCTCTGGCAATTGTACAGGCCTCAGTGAAGGACCAAGGGGCGTACAGGTGTGTCGTGGAGAACGAGTATGGCTCTGACGCCACTGATTTCTACCTCAGCAGTGAGGGTGAGTGAGGGTGTGTGAGACTCCTGCTGAACCATCAGAACTGGGGCTCCCCATGTTTGGGAACGAGTAGGAAGGACAAACCTCCTGAAACTGTCACTCAGAGCTTAGCAGCTGCATTGTCCAAAAAGGATACTGGACGGTTGGAGCACTCCGGCAATCAGTTGTTCACCTTAAATCTGTCACTGATAGTTTTCTGAACGGAAGTAAACCATTCAGCCCATCAAATCTGCTCTGCCATTAAATGCAATCATGGCTGACCTGATAATCCTCAACTCCACTTTCCTGCCTTTCCCCCATAACCCTTGATTCCCCTTACTGATGAAAAATCTACCTATCTCAGCCTTGAATATACTTAATGACCCAGCCTCAGTAGCCCTCTGTGGTAAAGAATCCTGCATTCACTACCCTCTGGGAGAAGAAATTGTTCCTCATCTCTGTTTTAAATGGATGACTTTTTTGTGTGATTATGCTGTCTGCTTCTAGACTCTCCCACAACTGGAAACAGCATCTACCCTGTCAATGCACCTTAAGAATCTTGTGTTTCACTAAGGTTGCCTTTCATTCTTCTAAACTCCATCGTGCACAGGCCCAAACCTACTCAGCCTCTTCTCAGAGGATGTGTTTGGGGATATGGGACAAAGGCGGATTTGTGGAGTTGGGTGGGGCATGAGATAAACTTGGTTCGGTATCACAAGAAAGCGGATTTGTGGGGTATGAGATAAACTTGGTTCGGTATCACAAGAAAGCGGTAGAATTCAGTACAGCACCCTGTCCGTAGCTAGGCCCCAATCAGCAACTCGAGCAGGTCAGACGGCCGCTTGGAGCTTGCTACAAGCAAATTGAGCTGCTGTGTTTCCTGCAATTGACTGCCCCTCAGGCATGTTTCCAGCGGCTGTAAAGGGATTTAGGAATGTGAAAGACTCAAGAGAAAGGCCAGCTTTTCCTTGTTTCATTTTGTGTGCCCATTGTGTAAAATACCGCTCTGTTTTCAGTGAGAATCTAACTGGTTTGTTTGTCACCGCAGTGTTGTCGGGATTTAATTCGAGGGAGGAAATTGAAGGTAAGGAGGAAACCCCCTTCAATCAGTGACATTTCCACAATAAACATGACCCTGTGATAGTGTATAATACAGTATGGCTGTTCCCCTCTTACAGTGGGTGAAGAGATTGAGATGACGCCTATGTTGATCACCAAGGGTCTCACTGATGCAGGGTTCTGGGGTAACAAACTCTTTGGCAGAATAATGATGAAGGAGCTGCACTTTGGCGATGGGGTTCATCATAAAGCCAGCAGGGTAAAGGTCATCTATGGGTTGGAACCAATATTCGAGTCTGGAGCCACGTGCATTATCAAAGTGCAGAACTGCATTTCTTACGGGACCAAAAAAGAAAATAGCCTTATTGCAAGAAACCATGACATCATGATGCAGGTAAGGAGTTCCTGTCTTTGGCGATAGGTAACTTCATTTAGAAATTCCTAAATGAGGAAATGATCAGCTGGTTGGAGACTGGGTGGACGACTCATGGTCCTTGGCAGGACCCCTTGGATGAGCCCGACCTCAGTGCGAATTGGGAAGTTTAAATGCCCCCCTCCCCTGCAAACATCTCCGACTCCAGGTTACTGCGAGTTACTAGAGATTTTGCTAGTTCCAAACTACTTACAGAATCATAGACCTGCACAGCACGGAAACAAACTCTTCAGTCCAGCTCATCCATGCTGACCAGATATCGGAAATTAACCTAGTCCCATTTGCCAACATTTGTCCTATATCCCTCTAAACCTTTCCCATTCATTCCATACTCGCACCACCCTCTGTGTGAAAAGGTTGCCCTTCAGGTCCCTTTTAAACCTTCCCCCCTCTCACCTTAAACCGATGTCCCCTAGTTTTGGACTCCCCTACCCTGGGAAAAAGACCTTGGCTATTCACCCTGTCCATGATCCTCATGATTTTATAAACCTCTATCACCGCTCAGCCTCTGACGCTCCAGGGAAAATAGCCCCAGCCTGTTCAGTATCTCCCTATAGCTCCAACCCTCCAATCCCTGGCAACATCCTCCTAAATCTTCTGTGAACCCTTTCATTTTCACAGGATATAGGTTAGTTC